CTTAGTTCTCACGATGGATAATATTGAGAGAAATACAGGTGAGGCCACCGGTGAATTGAGACAAGCAAGAATATATCAAGATAGAACAAACGCCTGGAAAAGAATTATATTTTATATTTTTTTCTTTTTAGCCGTTATAATTTTCATAGCAATTGGAGGTAGTTCATTTATGAAGTTATTTGTAGGAGATGATAAAAACTAAATATAGAAACAAACAATTAAAGTTAAAATTAATTTTTAAGTTTATGTTCAATAAATTTATATAAATTATTTATTGTTTTTACTTTATGCAGGGGTATTGTCAATGACGTTTAGACGGAGACAATTGGAATGCTAGAAATGAACATAAGTACTGAACTGTAGCAATACAGTCTTTTAATAAATTTTTATAACAACTAAATATGAATTATATAACCACCTAATATAATGTTTTTTTTAATTATTATTTATTTAACAAAAACAACTGCTATTATTAATGTACTTTATTTACCAAATAATGAATATTAATAAACCTTTTTCATAGTTGTATATTAACAATTATTATACAATAAATATCATTATTTGATATTTGAAAACTAGATACTTTATTATTAATTAAAAATTTGTTTTTTGTACTTAAAAAATATTAAAAACAAATATTTTCTTAAATAAAAAATTCAAATAACTAGTTTTTAAAAATTTTTCATTCAAAATATTAATGAAAATTATTTTTTCAAAAATAGAAATGTAAATAAAGTATTTTTTAATAATTTAAATTAACTTTAAAATCACTAATTTATTTAGAATTGATAGTTATTTTCTAATAAATTTTCGTTTATAAATTAGTTAATTTTTTAATAAAAATTTTATTAAACATTCATTATAAATTAATAAATTTGACACTCAATCATTTAAATCAACTATCAAACTGAACAAACACCTTTTAATGAAAATTGATTTTTTTGATAATTTTAAAATAATTATCATTTATTTACATTTAAAGTCAAAATTTAAATTAGTATAATAAATAATGATTTACTAAATTATTGTATTCCTTCTTTTATTTTTAAATTTAACTTTTATTTTATTTTATATTCCCAATAATTATAATTAAAGAAACAATCTATATAAAATTAATTCTCAAATAAATATAAATAAAAATTTATACCCTCCATTATCATGTACAAGAAGATAAACTTTATACACAATGAAAAGATCAAGAAGAAGATTTTAGAGAATGATAAGTATGAACCACTGTTAGATGAAAGTAATAATAGGTATACAATACTGCCAATTCAATTTCCAGAGATTTGGGGGATGTATAAAAAGGCATCTGCTGTCATTTGGACTGTTGAAGAAATTGACTTTACTAAAGATGCTAATGATTTTGAAACTTTAAACGAGGATGAGAAGTTTTTCATTAAAACTGTGTTAGCTTTCTTTGCAGCCTCAGATGGTATTGTTAATCAAAATTTATTAGAACGTTTTACTAATGAAATTCACATGTTAGAAGTGAAGTCATTTTATAGTTTACAATGTTCTATTGAAAATGTTCATAATGAGACATACTCTAAGTTGATAGAAACTCTTATCAAGGATGATCGTGAGAGGGATATTTTATTTAACGGTATTGAACATTATCCTTCTATTAAGAAAAAGGCTGATTGGGCTCTTAAATGGATTCATTCAAATGAGAGTTTTGATACTAGAATGATTGCATTTGCTTGTGTTGAAGGTATATTCTTTTCAGGATCTTTTGCTGCAATATTTTGGTTGAAAAAAAGAGGTATTCTTCCTGCTCTTACATTTTCTAATGAACTTATTTCAAGGGATGAAGGTTTGCATACTGATTTTGCTTGT